CATACATATAAATTTAAGAGTAAATTAATATGTAATTATTTAATGAAACTCTAAAGAAAGAATTAAATTTGTATATTTGTATTTGTACTTTTCTCTCTTAATTAATTCTTTCTCTACTAATTATTATTTCCAGATTTGGGAAAAGATATTATAGCCATCGACGATTTGAGTATAGCTATAGCACAAAATGGATCTATATGTACAAGAATTAAAATATTGCAATACACAACTATGATGCAAATATTTTCTGAGATAATGGAAGATTATAATTCATCATTATTAAAATACCATGATAAGTGTCTCTTGCTCTTGCAGCAGCAGCGTTCGTTAAGTGTGTATTTATAGAAAATTTTATTTATTAAAAAAACAAATATATATACTTATTATTAACTCATCAAGTAGACTATTTGTTAATCTAGTAAGACGGCAAGTTACAAGCGAGGAATTGGACCATATGCTGGATGCCCAAGAAAATAGCTTATTTATTGACAATGTAAATATTACTAAATATTTGACTTTGTCACTATAATAGTGTTTCTTACTAATCTTATATCTTTATGTATCAAATATGTAATTAATCATATGTAGATTTTAGAAGACAGCAAGATTGCAAGGCAGCAATTATCAGATATAAAAAGTAGACATAATGATGTTCTAAAATTGGAAAAGTCTCTCATAGAAGTCAGAGACATGTTTGCAGAAATTGCATTTTTAGTGGAAAAACAAGTGAGTATAAATATTTTTTGTTTAGTAACAAAATCATATTGTTTATAACAATGTAACACAGCGCAAATATGAAATATAAAATTTTTTCAATAGGGAGAACAAATCACTAATATAGAATATTTTGCCAATAAGACGACGGATAATATCGATGGTGGACGTATTCAATTGAAAAAGACGGAAAAAAGAAGTCACAGATATAGAAAGGTATTCTATTAGATATTTAGCAGCTTAGGCTTTACTTGATCTTCTTTTTTCAAAGCGATATTATCATGATTGCAATTATTTTTACAGCGGAAGATTAAGATTATCGTTGTTGTAAGTAGTCTGATAATAATTCTTCTTTTATTCATCAGTATGTCATTTTAAAATACAAGATATCTCAGATATTTTAACTAATATTTCTAACTTTAGTATAAATTATATGAATAAAAACATATTTTTTGCATAATATGCATCTATTATATAATGACTTATAATTATTTTTTGTTGTTCGTACTCACGCATTTTTCAAAGTAGTTTACAAGTGCTTTCGCGCTCGGTCTTAATTTATAATTGGCTGTAGTACATATGAAAAATATTTCAAGTATCTTCTCATATTCTTTGCCCAAATCAATTGCAGGTAAAGCTGGACGTGTACCTAAAAGACCAGTTTTTTAATTTAATTTAATTTAATTTAATCTAATTCAATCTAATTATACCACAATAATTATAAACAATAGATATTTAAAATCGTGTACACTATTTACCATATTTACTGTTTGTACGTGGCATTATTTCTTTGAGGAAAGTAATACTTTCATCCATGTCAAATTTAGAATCATTGAATTGATTATCTGTCAAGTTTGTCTCTGTAACTGAGTTGTCAAATGATTCATTTTCATCGAGTTCTTCATTATGAGGTACTGACAAAGATATCATTTCCCAAAGAGTAAGACCATATGTCCAAATGTCAGCAGCATTCGTCACTGGTCCATCTTCTGCAAGATAAAATTTTTAAAGAGTTTATATAATCGTAAATTAAAAAATAAATTTTGGAAATTAAATTTTTGCAATACTCATCATTTCAAAAATTATGAATTAAAAACTTTATATATGTAGTTTTGAAATATTAAGAATAGAAACACATATAGCTAAACAAACAAATATACCAAGCACAATTTCAGGAGGATTCCAACATTCTGTTCCAACATAAGAAAAGTTGCCTTTTGACGTATCTATTTCTAAAGATTCTGTCAATGGTAAAGCATTCCCAAAGTCGCACAATTTGACCACATTGAAATCATGAGACACCAAAATATTCCAACTCTTTATATCTCCATGTAATATGTATGCCGTATGATGTAAATACTTCAACCCTTTTGCAATTTCAAAACCAACTTTCAGAATATCTTTAGCTGAGAATGGTTCATCCTCTAAAAGGTCTCGTCTTTCCTCTATCTTATCACCTAATTTATGAAGCAACACTAATATTAATGCAAACATATATATCATAAAAATGTTCAAATTGTTCAATTTTATAAATACCAAGTGACGTATCTAATGCTTCCATAGCCAAACAAGGCTTTCCGTCTACTCCTGTGGTAAATGCTCTGAAACCAATGATATTGGGATGATTCAATTGTCGCAGAACATTTGCTTCTAATCGAAGACGCCCATTGTTTACTTCGTTGTTCCTTCCCTTTAGCCATTTCTTTACTGCCCAAGGTGAACGTGCAAGGCCTACTTTTGGCGATCTTTCCAACATGTACACAGCGACTCCTGAAAGAAAAAAATGTGCGAATATAGTTGTATGAATTTGGACATAACTAGCATTAACATTAATTAAACATCTCTCATTTATAATATGTATGGTATGAATTGTAATCGTAAAAACATTCGAAGACACATACGTACCAGTGCCATAGCCTATCTGTTGCAAGAAAGGCGATGCTGGTATTTTTATAGGAGTATTTAATTCGGAATTATCTGTTTTGCTTTTGCATTTTACTCTCGTTGGTGTACTGAATTCAGCCATGTAAACGAAATGGAGAAAGAAGAAAAAAGAACAAAAAGTAGACGAAACGACGAAACAAGGTATATAACCGTCGACTTTCAAACAATTCAAATTTTACCGAATTGCGCAAGCGCATCTTACGACAAGCCCGATTGGACCCGACAATATATCTATTCTTTTTTAGTTGCACTTTCTACACTTTGCTCTTTCTCCTCTCTTAAAAAAAATAAAAATAAGATAATGATTGGATTTAAAAATTTTTCTTCATCATAGAATTATATAACGATCGGATAGATAGTCGGATTTAATTATCAATCTTTACGATAAGATTTAAAATTCAAAGTTGGAAACACACATAGCCCGATCGATCTTTCGCTTCTCCGAAATAAAATAGCAGGTAATTGGCTACCGTTCTCTTTGCGCAAGCGCCGTAAAATCTAGTGACCACTTACGCAGCCCTGACGTTCGCGCTCGAGGTTGGCGGTCCTGCGATCTGAAAGCAGTCGCTCGCTTCAAAAGAATCGAAGCAAAGATGGACTCCTAAGAAATTTTTATATACAGCAGTCCTCGTTCGACTTTGGGATACTCCGTTGTACTCAGTCGTTAAATCTCCATCCTGTGGGTCGCCCGGAGGGCCGACATTCTTTTATGATCACGCTCGCGGTGTGAACGATGATCGTGCAGGAACCAGTGCAGGTAAAAACTGGCTCGATCCAGGGCTCTTTATCACGTTGCTGTAACATTGCGAATTTGTATATCGGGGCGCATCCACGTTCACCACTATTGACGTCCCGCTGATATCGGAAGCACACGCGCACGCATCTCGTGCGTGGCTTTAATTACGTCGTACGATGGTTTGGACGATCGTCCTTGGGGATCATCCTTTCCTAAAATCATTTCTTGGAACGACGATTCGATATTTTCCCTTCTTGTTTTTATCGAGGTATGCGTGTTCGGGATTACTTGCATCGCTGCGAAGAAAAGAGCAGGACGAGCAAGGATTCTGTCTATAAATAAGCGCGAAACTTCACCGTATATATATTTGCGGATTTTGATAATGAACAACGTCGATTTTTATAGTCAATTAAGATGTATAGAAGAGAGATGTTGCTTTCAGAGATTGCTTGTATCTATCTGCCAAATAGTTAAAAATTAACATGTTGCTTTACGTATGTATTATGGTTAGCAAACATGAGTATTATGCATGTATAAGTTGAGCAATAAGACATTTGGATCATTATTTTTAACTGTATGTAATAAAATGTGCGTATTGATTATATTCTATCTTATCAACTGAAAAAGCAAAGCAATATAAATTATATCAAACTTATATAGCATTTGTGTAGCACTGTGATACATTAAAACATAAAAAATACTTTCTTTTAATCATACGTTTTAAGAAAGATTATTAAATACAATACTAATTTATTAAAATCATTTAATCATTTAATATAATATGCAATAACGTATAATTAAAAAGTATATCTATATTTCTCTCAGATATTACATTGAAATCTAAGAATATAAATAGCATTACATATTAATAAATAATTTGCATTACTGACAATAAATATTTTTCTGCAGCCAAATTCTTATGTTACATGCTCTTTTTCTTGTTAAGTAAATGACTCGCATGTTGCTATTGCATAATTAATTATTAAAATATTGAATTTTCCAATTTTAGGCGGCCATATGGCATTGTTTGAATCATTATGCCTATCCAGATGCTATATTCCTGGCAGAAAGGTTATGTGCAGAAGGTATAGGATCTTTTACTTTGTTTAATTTATAATATATACTGTGTATTCTTATATTTTTTATCTTTTTTTAAAATAAAACAAAATTTACAATTGTATACTTATACATTAATATATATTGTATATTGTTACATAGTGGACACGGAGGAAAGTTTATTTCTTTTGGCAACATGTTACTATCGTTCTGGTCGAATTAGGCAAGCTTACGCCTTGTTATCCCAGAAAGCACCTAGTTCGGCACAATGTAGATTTTTATTAGCAAAATGTTGTTACGATCTGGAAAAGTAAGTAACGTTGCCAATTTATATATTGCTCTGCATCTAATATACATATATATGTTTAAATATATTTTTTATTAAAAATTTCCAGGTATGCGGAAGCAGAAGCTGCGATAATTGGGGGGTATTACAAGCAGTTAAAGAGTTTGGAAGAAATAATAAGTCAATTTGGGGAGCAGGCATGCTTTTCGCTGCAGATAATAGCAAAGATTTATTACAAGATGATGCGTACTGCGAGAGGCAACGAAGCGCATAAGTTAGCTTTAAAAATGAATCCCTTTCTCTGGCATTCGTTTGAGGAGCTCTGTAACGTCGGCGAAAAGGTGGATCCTGCCAAGATTTTTCAAGTAGACAAACTAGATTCCTTTGCTATGTGCCACGGTACTGCGTCTACGCTTAGCTATGTCACCGAACCGGATCTTATCGTACCTGGAAATAATGCCAACAGTACACCTATATCAAACGGCACTAATTTGTATGTATATATTATAAAATATATCATAAAATAACTCTATTAATATTTTATTTGCACATTGCAGGACACCAGTAATGGCACCGACGTTGATAAATGGCGGCCAAATACGCTTGTGTTCTTCTATAGAGGATACTCCGCAAAATGCGCCGGTTCATTATAACTGCAACTCGCCGAAAATCAAACTGTCGCGTTATCGAAGTATGTTTAGCAATTCCATGAGTCCGCTCACGCCTAGCTTCGGCATTTTGCCGTTGGAAAATAATACACCTGAGTCGACTGTTCCACCCTCGCACACGACTCTCATGGAGGCCAACGATCAGAAAAGCCTGGCAAAACGCGTCAGTAGTCTGAGAGCTCATGTAGGAGTGAGTATTATTTTTCGGTTTATAATACATTGTCTGAGTTTATAATAGCATTTTTGCTTTTATAATATATCTGAGTTGCATGGTCACTTGATACATTTTTGCGTTCGTATTTTTTTTAGCAATTAATGTCGAGGAAAGAGACACCATTGCAGCAAGGCAAGTCGGTATTTTCTCAATCGGGTAATGCAAGCAATACTGCCAATATCGTGACAGTGACAGCCGCTAATCCGACTTCACCTCCGTCACCGACATTTCAGAGCACTAACGTTAGACGCTCGTCGCGACTCTTCAGTCACAATTCAGTAAAAGTATGATTTTTCCCCCATTCTTCTAGTTACGTTTGTTCACTTGCAATCTTGATACGACTTGCATATATTTCAGGAGAATAATAAGTCACCTAATAGGAATAAATTTGCAACTCCAAAGTCTCCATCTCGGAAGACGAAAGCGAGACTCGCTAAAACAAATTTGAACAAGACCAACTTCAACGAGTTAAATGAGAGAAATAGGAACGAGAAAGAGAAGAGCGAAACGATCACATCGGAAAAAGCAGTGGCTAATGCAAATGCGCTTAATGCCCAAAATAATAACATTCATTCCGGAATAACATTGCAAAAGCAATCTGCAGGTATGTTAATTATTGAATTAATATTTTAATTTCTTTAATATCTTTTTTTTTTTTATTAGAAGAGAATTTGAGATAGTTTTATATTTGTAACTTTTCAGAAGGATTGATGTCTTTATTGCGAGAATTAGGGACAGCGTATCAATACTTGAGTCAGTTTAAATGTTCGCAGGCTGTTGAGATTTTAAGTATACTGCCAACACAGCATTATAATACTGGTTGGGTACTTTCTATGTTGGCTCGTGCACATTTTGAAATGATGGATTACAAAAAAGCTGCTAGGTAATAACTTCTTAATAATTATCAGAGAAACATTAGATTGACTGTTTCAATATTTTCTTGCATTTATAATAAAATAGTTATAGCATATTTAGGTTTTCAAATGAGAAAGAGATAAGAAATACATAAGAAAGTGAAAGTGCGACTAAAACTGATTGTCTCTGATACATTTACATTTCTTCGTAATTTTTATTTATTTAGTTCGTTTTTTTTGCAGGTATGTTTAATTATTGAATTAATATTTTAATTTCTTAATATCTTTTTTTTTTTTATTAGAAGAGAATTTGAGATAGTTTTATATTTGTAACTTTTCAGAAGGATTGATGTCTTTATTGCGAGAATTAGGGACAGCGTATCAATACTTGAGTCAGTTTAAATGTTCGCAGGCTGTTGAGATTTTAAGTATACTGCCAACACAGCATTATAATACTGGTTGGGTACTTTCTATGTTGGCTCGTGCACATTTTGAAATGATGGATTACAAAAAAGCTGCTAGGTAATAACTTCTTAATAATTATCAGAGAAACATTAGATTGACTGTTTCAATATTTTCTTGCATTTATAATAAAATAGTTATAGCATATTTAGGTTTTCAAATGAGAAAGAGATAAGAAATACATAAGAAAGTGAAAGTGCGACTAAAACTGATTGTCTCTGATACATTTACATTTCTTCGTAATTTTTATTTATTTAGTTCGTTTTTTTTGTGCAGTTATTTTGCGGAAGTACGACAGTTAGAGCCACAGAGGACAGAACTTATGGAGATTTATAGTACTGTTCTTTGGCATCTGCATGCTGAAGTGCAGTTGTCTACACTTGCTCAAGATCTAGTTTCCCAAGACCGTAATTCGGCGGCGGCATGGTGCGCCACGGGCAATCTCTTTTCGGCGCAAACGGAACACGAGACGGCGATCAAATTTTTCCAAAGAGCTGTTCAGGTATTTATAGGCTCAATTTCAACATACATGTACGATTGTTATCTCTTGTTCAAATTAAAAGAATATGCGATTTTCTGACACTTTTTAGGTGGATCCTAATTTTCCATATGCCTATACATTGCTAGGACACGAGTATGTCTTGACCGAAGAGCTAGATAAAGCAATTACTGCTTTTCGTAATGCTATCAGACTTGATCCCAGGCATTACAATGCATGGTAAGTTTCTTTTAAAGAGATGTTACATTTTTATTTAATGTCTACTATTTTTTAATTATTCTCTGAGTTTAAACTATTCTCCACATATTTAAGGTTTGGACTGGGAACAATATTTTCAAAACAGGAGCAATATAGTTTGGCAGAGTTGCACTTTAAACGGGCCTTACAAATAAATCCGCAGAATTCTGCGCTAATGTGCCACATAGGCGTCGTGCAACATGCTCTGAAGAAAACCGACCAGGCATTAAAGACTCTAAATACCGCGCTAGTTAACGATCCGGATAATACTTTGTGCAAGTTTCATCGAGCAAGTATTAACTTTTCTATCGGTCGACACATGGAAGCTCTCAGAGAGTTCGAGGAGCTAAAGAACATTATACCCAAAGAATCTCTAGTCTATTATTCGATAGGAAAGGTAAGAGATTCTTAAACGATAGTTCCTAATACGTGTTTTTTGATGTTCTTTTTTTTTTGGTAACAGGTGCATAAAAAATTAGGCAATACCCATCTCGCGTTAATGTACTTTAGTTGGGCGACAGATCTAGATCCAAAGGGTGTTAATAGTCAAATTAAGGAGGCTATATTGAGTCCCGGTCAAGGAGATGATGATTCTCCACCAACGCAATCAGGTATTATCAGATATATAATGCTATATAAATCAGAATTTTAAAACTTTAAAATTTTTAAACTGAGATAATCCACATCAAAAATATCAGATGTTTTAAATTTATATAACTGATGCCATTTTTTGATTATATCTTTCTTACAAGTATTTATTATAATATAGTGATTCACATAACAAAAATTTATACCGATACTTATTCAAAGTTATTATAGCAGATGAACAGCAAGCACAAAATAATTCAATGGAACAGGATATTGAAACGAATAGGGAAGGCAGCGCCGCGCCTCTTGCCGGAAATGTCTCTGTTGAGCCTCACGGTGATGACAGCGATGACAGTTTATGAAAACGATATGCGAGACTTCCGTGAAAAAAAACGAAGCGTTATTATTCTCTTTATAGGTCATTCGAATTATTCGTTCGCCGGTCTGGCTTTGCTTGCAGGATCGATAAAATTATTGATGCGCTATCATTGATTTAAATTAAGCAGTTTTCGATATTCTTCGAAAACTGCAAATTGTCCTGTCTGTGCGATGTGATTAGGTTAAAAGAAACCATTATATTATCCTTCCCGCATCGTCGAATTTCTTTTTTGTGTCTTGTGTAAGTTCTTATACATATATATATGGATGCGGTGCTCTTGCGACAATAGAAAACTCGCGTATCGTATCCTTCATCAACTTGTACATTACGCGTTTGCCTCTGTATATTTTTTTACGGTTGCTCTCGATCGCCTTTTGTATTTCTTCGTACTTCTTCTTCAATCGTTCCCTCTTGTGCCTCGTTTCGTTGCGCATAAAATTTATTTAAGCCTGGTGAGACGAAAGTCCACGAAACTTTAATTTAAACAAGATTTAGGTCGAGATAAGAGCATATACATATACGAAAGAAAGCATATACATAGTATCAGGAGTTTTTTCCTATCTCACGGAGACGAGGTATTAGAGATCCACGGTTGAGTAGAAACTATCGTGTCGTGAAAAGAAATGAACGAATGTAACCGTAAGCATGTCTCGTACGTAGTTAGGTAATGTAATTAATTAATCGTTTTCGAGTAAGAAAGGAAAGAGAGTCTTGTGTAAATGTAAATTATTATTACCGTGTATTTACCGCTATTATTACTACTACAATTAGTGCTATTATTACTATTCGTATGATTATCATTGTTGATTTATATAGTGATTGTGGAGATATATCGTCGGTCGCTCGGCGTCGGAGCGGCCGTTGGACGATCGTGCAATTCTCATCGTGAAGTAAGATCCTTTAATCGATCGAACATACGAATTCGCGATTGCAATTTCGGTGATTCAGTAATCGTGCGATTATATATTCGGTTTCGATTTCGATAGCCGGAATTAGCATAACCCGCGCAAATGTCTATATATATATAGAGAAACGCTCGTCGGATTATATTCTTAATAGTGCTGGACAGAATTTATGACGTTTACGGCGTCGTTCTTCGTTATCGATATTAGGTGTACAATGCAAACTGTCAATTCCGAATCTCCCGGAATAAAAATCGTTACGTGTTATTCCTGGAAGTATATACGTTCGTCTCTAATTTCGAGCGGACTGAGTTACGATCGTAATGTGCGTCTATCGCGCGTGACTGTAACGCTTTATATTGTACACGTAATTAAACGAAAAACACGTCACGAAAAAAGAAAAAAAAACAAAGAAAAACTAATTGTACTGACTGAGAAATACGTCTGTGTGATACATGACGCGCGTATCTTCCTCTTATTTCTCTCCCACTCTCCTTTTTTTATCTCTCTCTTTTTTTAATTTATTTATTTACTTCTTTGCATTTTCCTTTCTTCTCGCGCGTCCTTCCGCATGCATCTCGTGTCTCTGGGAGAGAACGCGAAAGTAAAGTCTCTTTCGTATTTATTGCATACATAGCGAAGCGGCGACGAATCGAATTATTTATTATTTTATCCTCTTACGCGTTTATTTTTCTCACCGAACGGAAAATTGAGTCGGATCTATCTTCTAAAGAGATTTAAGAAACAATTACGCATATGCGATGTCTGCACATCTTTATCCAGCTTCCGCGATATCGAACCGCGATGGTTCGATCGAATTCAACAATTGCTGCCGCGTTACTCGTTTACAAAAAAAGAGGTGTATGCGCGAAATAAAGGCCTGCACTTTTTATGAAACGCTATTTGCTGTTTTGGCGAACACATTACACCTGTGTCCTACGTCGACAATAATAATATACATGTCGAAAGAAATTTATCTAATAGAGTTCTGTTTGTTACCCAGTTTATTTATAGATAAGTCATCGCAACACCTTTGCAAACGAAAATTTTCGACCAACCACAGTGATTTTCCAGCAGAGCAAAACGATTTAAAATTTTAAACTTAATCCCATAAGAATTTATATTAAAAATAAAATGCATAGTCTCCGAGAAACGATAACATGTTTACAACGAAGCAAGATAACATTGGAAAATAATCACTCATACAAAAATTGAGACGCTGCCGAGAGGGGAGCAAGACGATGGATGTCGACCCACGGGGATCGGCTGTTTATTTCGTTCCCCTTCAGTTTGTCGTTTCTTACTGTCGAGCCAAGAGTCAAGATAGTACAAGTTTGTCGCACAGTGTATGATGCGGCAAACGGATCGAACGATGAGCATGATCCTGCGAAGGCCTAGGAGAGAATCGGACTTCGTGTTGTCGCATTTCGGTCACTTCAAGGAACATCTCTTCAAGTTCCTCGTCATCGGCGACTATGGTGTCGGTGAGTTGCCACGGCTGTTTCGTAATCGATAAACGATTGTTTGCATTCGAATTCATGATTTACACATAATATATCATTACTTGACAAATATAAAATTTTTATCCTAGTGATAAGAGAAAGAGAAAAGTATCACACACAAGAAAATATCCGATAATCTTTCTATTATCCGTTTTAATTTTATCAATTATGTAAAAGTTGATTTTGTAAACGCATTTATTTAATGAATTACAAACTTTAATTTCTTTATGCAATCTGAAAAGCCCGTACAATTTTTTTACAAAGTTTTAAAAATTTTGATAAAACTTTACAAGTCCTTGTACACAATTTTTCGTATATGTTGTACATATTTACAATAATACTTTAAAATCGTTTACACAGAATTGTAAAATCGCTTTTATATAGAATGGACTCATTAAATTTATAATTTTCATAGAGACGTTTTATTTCAGGCAAAACTGCGTTGGTCAGAAGATACACGGAAGGTAAAAATTAACCATTTCTTATTTTCCGCTTCCGATTTCTTGTCAATCAGTATCACTTTCGCACGCAAAAAGTTCTCGTTATTGAAAATATTAAACGTAAACGTATATTGCGATCGCACATAAGAGAAGATCGCGAGAGAGGAGATTGCGAAATAGCGCGTTTAAAGAGAGAGAGAGAGAGAGAGAAAGAAATGAGAAATGCGTGCAAGCCGGCTTATCTGCTTTAAAGACACGTGCGTCAAAACGTCAACGTATACAGCTGCGACTACGTTACTACATCTGCATCATTAAAATCCATGCGTCGTCGACGTCACTGTACATGTACACCGTCGAAACTGTCTTTTCCAGGAAAGTTTTCCTCGAATTACAAGATCACCATAGGCGCCGATTTTGCGATAAAAACGCTCGATTGGGATCCGCACACTAAAATAAACTTGCAGCTATGGTACGGTAGTCTCTCCAAGCATAATTTATCTATCTTACTATTTTATTATCCTTTTTCAAGCTTCTATATTTCGCGATCTCTCGAAATTTTTCTTAATTTCGCAAAATTATAAGAATACTACTAAAACTATAGAAACAAGGAAAAAAGCAATAATTTTATTTCGAATATTTCAGGGACATCGCCGGTCACGAGAGATTCGGATACATGACCAGGGTCTATTATAAATACGCGTAAATATGATTTTAATATTTCTTCTTATCCAATCGGATTTAGTCAACGTTTTTATGCGTATTTTATCTCTATATTAAATATTTTATTATTATTAATGAATAATTTGTATGTGCTTTGATCTCTAATAATACGCTTTGTCGAGACAAGACTAGAACGATTATATCCCTTGACCGATCGATTGAAAATTTCGAATTAATGACCGACTTCTTGTTCATTGATCTAACTTGCATTAACATAGAGTGGCAGCGGCTCTCGTATTTGACATTTCGCGCGGGGCGACCTTTCAATCGATGAAGAAGTGGCTGTACGATCTCAGGGAAAAGATCACGCTGCCGGATGGGTCGAATATACCGATCGTTCTTTTGGCAAACAAGTGCGATATATCGGTCGCCGTGACTGACGAGCAGATTTCCAAGTTCTGCAAAGAGAACAAGATAAACGCCTGGTATGCGACCTCCGCGAAGAACAATACCAATGTCGGTAGGTAGACGAACGATCGAAAACTTATCCTCGTAAATCATCTCTTCTTTCGCACGCGATTTATATATTCTAAACAAAATTTTCTTTGATATTTAATATATTAATATATTTTAATATTTTAATATTATATTTCTATTTGATAAGTAAATATGGTTTCGAGCTAGGAAATAAACTTTTCCATTTTGTTGCATTAATCTTGCATAGTTTTAATTATTCTATCGTTAATTATTCTGACACAAGTTTATATGATCATCGATATAATTACATATATCAAAAATGCTCTAGATTTTGCAAATAGTACACAAATATTTTCTATGGAATGTGCATTATTTAAATCCTTTCGAAAACGCACAACAAACAATTAAAAACGAAATCTTCTATGAGTAATAATCGAAATAAATAAGTCGAGAACTAATTGCGCTATATATTCTAAAATTTCCAGATACAGCGATGCGCTATTTGGTGGAGAAGGTTTTGTGTTCGAAAATCGATAATGGTGTACGCGATTCGATAAAATTACAAAATAAGAACTTGTTGAAACACGAGTCTAGTTGCTGCAAATAGAGCGAAATGGACATTTATTTTAAGATTTTATGATCACTCGGAGATATATATATATA